GCGGCCCATAGAAACAGTCACTAATGAGGCATCTACTTATATATATCTATGTCTACTATGCCAGAGCATGTACACGCGTCACACGCCGGATGTTGTGAACGCGTTCAGACATTGCGGTGGATCAGAGCTAAAAAATATATAAATGCTGTTCAGTTTCTTGCACAGACCGATCGTTTCGTGTCTTAAGACCTCAATGTATCGTCACGAGCCGCAGGGTTTAATTTGGTTTTGTTTGTGTATGTTTTGTTTACTCTCAAAGCCGTGATTCCCATTCACCTCCATTATAAGACTGACAGACTGCAACGGTTTGAGTTAAAAATCTTCGTTTGTGTTCTGCTGAAGAAACAAAATTACCTACATCTTGGATGCCCTGGGGGTAAGCAGATAAACATAAACTTTTTCATTTTTGGGTGAACTATCCCTTTAATACAGTCTTAACATATATGTTTATGCAACTGGTCTCAGATGTTCTTCGAAATACCTTCTTGCACAGTAAGAAATGTTTGGAAGAATTTTGCTTTGAATGATACAGCAATTGCACTCACAAAGAGCAAATTCTAGTCAATGAAATATTGTAGGGAACTAAAAGATGATTTGGTAAACCATTATAGTTTCATGAGTTATTTCTCAGCTTGTTACATTGGCCTTTCATCCAAGCATTAAAATATTTTTAAATGCATTCCAGCTCAGAATAACAACAGTGGCTCTTGATTTTTAGATGCATATAAAAATGTTTAAAAAAAATAAAAAGTTTGTTGCCCCAACGAAAAACAAGTAGGCCTAAATATTACAACAAAATATAATAGTAGTATTAAGGCATACATAAAAACTAAATAAAACAGTCTCATGGGAAACTTGGAAACACATTTTTTGTTATAGTTTTTCTTTTTATTGTTTAAGAGTCTTCAAAATGACAATATTGTTTTTTTATGTTTTTTAAACATCATACACATCATAAAATCTGCCTGCTGTAAATTGTGCGTGTGATTCTAAAATAGCGCTAAAATAAAAAGGGTAACAATACTTAAAACCAACTTTTTTTTTTTTAAAGGGGGGGGGTCGGTTACAACAAAACCTGTACCAACATTACAAACAAAAACGGTTGGCTGTGTCTGGCGCCGACGCGAACGTGATTGGCAGGACTCTGCCACCGACGCAGCTGATTGGCTAGTTACAATTCAAACGCACGTCCTCCTCGCTGTCTCCGCCCCTCGTGTGTTTCCGGCGTGGAAGACCCCGTGAAATGCCCCTGAAACTCCCGAAGGCACTGCAGGCGAGTGCTGTTTCATTCATTCGCAGCTCGCGCGGCTCAACGCTTTGGACGCTGTCCTGACCGCTCCTTTTAAAAGGGTACGTTTTAAATCTCTCTCATTTATTTCAAAGCTAGCTCTAGTAATTTTAATTCTCCGCAAGAACAAAAATAAGAAAACAGAAATAGGAGTGATTTGTTTGTTTTAGGGCACATTTGAACGGGATTAACAAACACTAAACATATTGGCGGGCTCTTGTGGCGCGTTATTCGTTGTAACTTATTACTTACGCAAAGTTATAGTAAGTTAACGCAGTCCACGCCCTTCTCGAAGAAACGTTGTTTTTATATACAGCAAACATCGCAATTCTTTTAAAATTCAACTTTTGGGGGTTTCAAAACAAAGGGCTAAACTCGTTCAAACGACGTTTTACACAAAGCAATGGTCTTACGCTTGGTTTGGGTTTGCTATTTCTATATTTTTTTTAATCGATTAAAGCTCTTCTCAGTGTAAACAACAGAATCGTGTTTTCACGCGCTCGGGGATTTAAAAGGGCGCGAATCGCGCGCTGAGTTCGTGTTCCGGTTCGCACTGGAACCGCGGGGTATCCGTAGAAACCGTTCGCCTCTTAGCTTTCTCTTTTTTAAAGCTCCGCTGCAGCACAGCGAGAACCTCCGACGGATTTCAGATCTGCGATTTTAAGGTATTATCATATTGTTTAAACGGACGCGCCGCTACTCAAATATTTTCTTGTTGTAGCCGACATTGTGTCGGGTTTGAGCTCGGGCCTAGCGCGTGTGGTAAACACACGGGAAGCCGGTGGCTCCGCGCGCTCGTTCATTACGCTCCCCGTGAAGTTAATTTCTACTTTTTACCAAACGAGCGCGTGGTGATTTATTTAAAGTTTCTGTGCTTTCACCAGATATCGTGTTTGCTGATCGATTGTGCTTATCGAGCGACTCTCTTTGCGTGCAGCTTTCCAGTAAAGCGCAATGAGTGATTCCGGCAAGGACACAGTGGCTCCTAAAGAGAAAGACGGAGCAGAGAAGAGAGGACGCGGAAGACCACGAAAACACCCACAGGTAGCGCACTGCTTTATATGGGGCACTCTGGCTTTCAGTGGGCTGGTATAGTTCATATTGATGAGACCAAAACACTGCCTTTATTTTGTGTTTCTGGCTAAAATGATGCTTGCTTGCGTTTTATTTTTTTGAGGTCTTGCACATGGGCTGAGGACATCCAAACCATTTTTTGGAGTGTTACTTAATCTCTTAAAGCTCTTAACCGATAGGCTATATTAAGATCTTTGATTTGGTGCATCTTCAACTCAACATGTGCAGTGGTCATCTGTAGTGGCAGAATGACCAAGGCCTGTAACCTGATCTCTCTAAACCAGCAGTAACCCACTTACTGTTTCAGCTGCGCACTGATTGGCCGCTGGGAAATGCCAGCATCTGATTGGTTCATCCCGCTGTCAGTCGTAGGGCCTCGAGTGCATTGGGTTTAAAGTTTCTGTTACTCACCCATGTACTCGGAGCCTTTGAGTAGTAATCCATGGCCACCATCATACAACAAGATGGATTACTTATTAAGCACCACTGTCTTAGCTTCTTTAGTGTGTGTGTGTGTGTATTATTTATATAAAGCCATAGCTCCTTACTACACTACAGAAGCACAAGTACACTAATAATGTGTGCTACAGAAAAAAGCAAACAAACACGCATGTATCATTTGTAAATTTGTAGGTATTTCATTCTGATTTTTCACATCTGTTTCACATGCTTAAAGGCAGCAAGGTTAATAGCTCTAGCAGATTTTCAGTTTGTGCATTTGTAAGTGGATAGTTTAAGAAATTGGTAGGATGCAACTGCTTTTAAGTTAAGTATTTTTAGTTTTTCATCCAAATCTCCCCTTTTTCAAGCTCTGTTTTGTATTGTGTAGTTGTAAAATTATCAAATGACTGAAAGACTATAAATGTTAACAAGTGTGCTGATCTTTCACACTCTCTTCTCTGTAAATCAAATGACGTAGATGTTAGTCTACATTGGTGTGAACTTGGTTTCCTGTCCTTGAGAAGACTGAAGCAGACTTGATATGCATTATTTGCAGTTGGCTTACTCTATCCATTTGCATATGTCTGACAGGAAATATTCTTTACACTGACCCCGAGCGGCTCATTTAACTGGTATGACACTGATAGTCGGCCTGTGGTGGTCTGCAGTGTATTCGGTTCTCTTTTGGTGACCAGTGACTGCATGCCACCTGTTGGTCTTAAAGTAGCAACCAGTTGTTAACTATGAACAGCAGATGCTTTATAAGTTATCCACCAGTAGTATGTGGAAACCCACAGTTGACTCAAGTCTGTGCACAGATTTTGGTGTTTCTGATTACATATCATTCTCAATATTCTAGCAGCAGGAGGCAAGTGGATCTCCCACACCGAAGAGACCTAGAGGAAGACCAAAGGGCAGCAAGAACAAGCCAAGCTCCACGGCATATCGGGGCAAAGTGAGTAGAAATGTCTCGGTGGTTTTGTGCACAACTACCTCCTGAACAATGTTACCATCAAAGACAAACCGACAAACCTGCATCTGTCTTCCGGCCCGATGAGTTTACACGCTAACAATCAAAAGTTCTTATTGGTGTCTGTGGTTCCATAAAGAACATTTCCACGGCATTGCACAAAGTTCTTTATAGAGGAAGAAGGTTTTTTAGGTCGTCACATAAAGAAAAAGATTCGGTGACACTCTATTTTAAGGTGTCCTTGTTGCATAAGTTACATGTACTTACTATTGTAATAACAATAAATGATGCATAATTACATGCAAGTAACCCTAAGCCAAATCCTAACCCTATAGTAAGTACATGTAGTTAATTAATATTACTCAGTACTTGAATGTGGAATTACACTGCAACAAGGACACCTTAAAATAGTGTAACCAAAGATTCTTGTAAGAACTGTTTACTGAAAGGTTCTTTTTGGAACCTAAAACGGTGGTTCTATGGAATCACTGCAAATCCCCACTTTTGGAACCTTTAATTTTAAGTGTGATTCTGCCCAATTTGCTTTTTTGCTTCAATGTAAACATGCTTGTTTTTCAGTCAATTTCTTGGCTCCTCGTTATTATTATTATTATTTTTTTATTTATTTTTTTTAAATGTGCGACCTGAACAGTCTTCTGTTTTTGTTAGAGCGTGCAGATAAAACCAGTTGCTCAATTCCGGTTAAATCTTTTGACTTCCTGCTGGCTTCCTGTGGCATAGCAGGCGCTGTGCATTGCAGGTGCACTGGCAGCAGTGCAGTCTCTGAGATGATAACCCCGCCCTTCCATCCCCTCCATTTATTGTTATGACAGCTGACCCACCAACCCTTCCCCCCAATATGCACACCACCTCTCCCTTTGTTTGTGTGTGCATGCGCGTGTTGCCGTTTCTCTCGCCCGCTTGTACCAGCTGTCTCTCAGCTCCGGACCAGGTGGCCGGCGAACTGAAGTGCACTGCATGCTGCTCATGTCCGTTTCCAATATAATAGCCAATGAACTCGCTGCCCCTGGGCCGCCTGCCAGCACGAGCCCAACAGTGCCCTCTGGTGCTCAACTGCATGCATAGCACAATGTTTATTCTCTCTTTCTCTTTCAGAAAACAGCAACGGCTTCGGCACCTGCAGGGACGAAACGCCGAGGACGGCCCAAGAAAGCAGTGAGTTTTCATTTGTCTTCCGTTTTGCGCATTTCATGTGCATTTATAGCGAAAACCGCAAGGCTGAACGGCTGTTTGTGTGGTGGGAAGTTGCCACGGGCAACAACAAAAATATTTGGCTGCTTCTCACGAGGGATTTCTTGCAGTTCTTTCTCCCCTTCGTTTCTCTTGTAGGTCTTGTTTATAAGAACAGATCAAATATCTTGAAGCCTTTTATTTAGCTGTTAAGTCAGTTTGGCATGTAATCGGGCAGATCCCAGTGCCGCCCCCCCGTTTCCTCGACAGCTCACTGTGTAGTCATCAGCCCCGTGTCTTTGTGCTGCATTCCTCTCACATGAGGCACGGTTCTGGCGCTGGAGTTCAGTTTTCCTCATTCAAACATGTCCGCAGGAATCCGCCGAGTTGAGTCACACAAACCTCTGGCTTTGAGTCACTCTACTAGTTATCGTGGCCATGCCGGGACGTTTCCTCCACTTAGTCATTCAGACTTCGAAAACAGGTGGCTCTGATTTGATTTAGTAGAGTGGATGCTACATGCAAAATGTTGAATATACTTTGTGACCATTGTTTAATGTCTTAAAGGGGATAGTTCACCCAAGAATGAAAATTTCTGTCATTAATTACTAGGGATGTGCGCGACGACTAATTTGACTGTCGTTTAAACGAAAGTTTTGTATCCGACTAGTCTAAAAGCAAGAAACCCTCAAAAAAGAAAAAAACCTCCGTGCGTGCGTGTAGCATATATAATAGCCTATATTTGAAATACTTAATCTATGAATCACACTGTCAAATCCCTCAATGAATTCCGCTTGCCGCACACTTGCCTCGCG